CAGACGGATGAGGACACACCCCTCTGTTCACACCGGAGTTCTCCAGTCCCTGGGCTGAGGCAACTGGGGACAGGCAGATGGCGGCACGTGGGTGTGGAGTGGCCGCAGGGGTGGCACTGGGTGGACAGCTCACTGGTCTTTGTTCCTAGGGCAGGGGGCGCCTTGGCTCTGAATGCCTCAGTTCAGATCCAGGGCTGTGATGGTCCTGGGGAGGCCGGAGTAGCTCAGAACTAACTGCAAGGCTATGTCCTGAGCCCTGCCTCCCCTGGGCAGGAGTGTGCCAGAAGGTGGGGCCTGGCTGGGTGGGAGCCCTCCCTCCAGGGCCCTGATGCTCACTCCCCTCTCCCCAGGTCCCATGTGCGACCTGCTGTGGTCTGATCCCCAGCCGCAGGTGAGCCCAGAGTTTTGTGTGAGGTGGTAGGGTGGGGCCCCTGGTCACCCGGAGTCTCATGTTCCCCCCTTGCCCCCTAGAATGGGCGCTCGGTCAGCAAACGGGGCGTGAGCTGCCAGTTCGGGCCCGATGTCACCAAGGCCTTCCTGGAGGAGAACCAGCTGGAGTACATCATCCGCAGCCACGAGGTCAAGGCGGAGGGCTACGAGGTGGCCCACGGCGGCCGCTGCGTCACCGTCTTCTCTGCCCCCAACTACTGGTGCGTCCCCTGGGGGTTTGTTTCTTTGGGGCTCAGCATGGAGGTGGACCGTTCCCATCACTGGATGGTGCAAGGGGAGCCAGGCAGTGAAGCCCCTCCACCGCCCCCAGCCCCCAGGCCTCACACCTCCCATTGGTGCCTGGAGATGCTTCTGGAAGGAAATCCCGTCATTCCTCTAGTCTGCAGAAGAAGGCTGCCACGGCAGGCACCCCGGGGTCACCTGCTTGTCCTGGTGGCCAGAGAGGTGGTGGGATCAGATCTGGCACCGAGAGCCCACCCCGTCCTCCCCTCCCCCTCTCCTGCCCCTCCCTGAGCGCCCCCTCTGCTCCTGTCCCTGCAGCGACCAGATGGGGAACAAAGCCTCCTACATTCACCTCCGGGGCTCCGACCTGCGGCCCCAGTTCCACCAGTTCACAGCAGTGGTGAGCCCCAACTCCAAGGGGGGTGGGGGAGCAGGCAACCCCTGTGGCCCCTCCTGACCCAACCCCCTCTGCCTCCTCCAGCCTCACCCCAACGTCAAGCCCATGGCCTACGCCAACACGCTGCTGCAGCTGGGGATGATGTGAGGCAGGGGCGCCCCCTGGCCAGCACCCCGCAACCAGGACCTGAGCAGCCCCGCCCCCGGGCAGCGTTGGACCCCCTTTTACTTTGTAAAGTTTGTATTTATTCCTCTTTAGGTTGCAGAGGGGGTGGGCAGAGCAGAGCAGGGCTGGCCAGAGCGGCTGTCCCCTGCACAGGCAGGAAGGGGGTGCCCGAGCTGGGGTGCAGAGGGGCACAGCCAGGCATTCTGGAGGAAGGCCGGCCTGGGGCGGGACCAAGAGGATTCCCTGCCCCTTCGTTTGCATGGCTCCTCCCCGCTAAAGCAATAGGGCCCTGCCATAGGAAGACCCTAGGAAGAGGGTCATCAGGGAGGCCTCGCCTGCACCCTGCCTCCTGGTAGCCCAAGGGTGGGGCCAGGCCAGGCCCACCCCTCCCCCAGCTGTTTTATGTCTGTAATTAAATATGTTAAAATAAAGTCATTATTGTAAGTCACCTCGTCTCAAGGCCCTGGCTGCTAGATTGAGTACGTGTTCCCTAGAGATTCAGGTTGGGGGCTGTGCCCAGACCTGGGATACAGAGGGCCCCCCATGAGAAGACCCCATGGGCCAGCAAGGCCAGTGGTGAAGTGACCCCCTGCAGACCCAGATCCTTCCCAAGCTGGGCCCCCTTCATCCTGGGCACCATTCAGTAAAGCGCCTGCAGTCTCTCCATTTCCCCCCCATCCATCAGAGTGGACATGGCTGTGGGGGCTTCCTGTCCCTGGGGGTCTTCCCAGAGCAGCACAGAAGGACAGCTGAGCCCTTGAGCAAAACTGGGGTTCAGCCAGAGAAGCTGGCAGGGTATGTGAAGTTCTCTGAAGCCCAGCACCTTGTTCAGCCACCCGGGGCCTCAAAGGCTGGGCCTCCACATGAGCAGCCTCCTACCTTCACCATCCATGCCTCCTAGAGGGCATGAGGAGAGGTCTGAGTCTCCTACTGACCCAGGTCAGGGTCAGGACCCATGGACTTCCAGGAAGGAATGAAGATGGGGATGTAAGGCTGCCTCCTCCCAGCCATGCAAGACAGGCGCCTCGGTCTCCTCATCCCCACCAGGGGGCGCCCCAGGATCGGGCACTTCCGCCAGAGAAGCAAGCTGCCCAGACTCCTGTGCAGAGCTGGGATTTCATTCTAATCATGAACAGTAGCAGTGCAGTGCTTAAAGTGCACACCCTGTTTCTGCACGCCTAGGCGCTCTTTTTTTTTTTTTTTTTCCTGTCGATCATGGGGCTTGAACTCTAGGCCTGGTCATCGTCCCTGAGCTCTTCAGCTCAAGATGAGCACTCTAACCACTTGAGCCACAGCGCTGTTTCTGGTTTTCTGGTGTTTTAGATGAGTCTCACGTACTTTCCTGCCCGGGCTGGCTTTGAACTGTGATCCTCAGATCTCAGCCTCTGAGCAGCTAGGATTAAAGGCGTGAGCCACTGGCTCTTGGCTGTCCCCCTCTATCTGCCTCTCCCAGGTCTGGGCCTGGGGTCCTCTGGTCCCCAGTTGTCCCCCTTCTGGCTCAGGAGATGCCAGCTCAATCCCTGCCGCCACGCATTCTCTTATTTTAGTCTTGTGGCAGGCAATGGCGGCCACCCAAAGAAGGGTGGTTTTCAGTCAAGAGAGAAGGGGATGGTCCTGCTGGGTGCAGTGGCTTCTGCCTGCTATCCTAGCCACTCAGGAGGCTGAGAGCTGAGTGAGGACCTCAGTTCAAAGCCAGCCTGGGCAGCAAAGTCCATAAAACTCTTCAATTGGCCACCAGAAAACTGTAAGTGGAGCTGTGGCTCAGAGTGGCAGAAAAGCTCCGAGTTCCAGCCCTATTACTTATCAAAAAAGAAAGAAAGAGAGTCTGGAGGCCACATCCAGATGACTCCGGGTGACCAGTTCAGCTGTGAGCCCCAGGGGCATGAATGCATGGGCCTCCCCTCTCCCCAACTCAGACTTCAGGCCACGCTTCCACCAGGTGTCACCAGAGGGCGCTCAGAGCTCTGATTTCTCCAACATGCCCTAGGCCCTTGTCCATCTCAACTTAAATCTTCCTCCCTGGGCTTGGACCTGGGCTAGCCTGGGACTCTGCTTTAAAAATGAGTCACTTGCTAGGCACTAGTGGCTCACACCTATAATCCTAGCTACTCAGGAGGCTGAGATCTGAGGATTGCAGTTCAAAGCCAGTCCGGTCAGAGAAGTCTGTGAGACTCATCTCCAGTAAACCACCAGAAAACCAGAAGTGGCACGGAGGCTCAAATAGTAGAGCACTAGCCTTGAGCCGAAAAGCTCAGGAACAGAACCCAGGCCCAGAGCTCAAGCCCCACAACTGACAAAAAGAAAAAGAGCTCATGGGGCTGGGAAGGTGGCTCAGTGGTAATGTGCTTGCCTTGCATGCATGAGGCCCTGGGTTCTATTCCTCAGCACCACATAAGCAAAAAGAAAGCCAGAAGTGGCACTGTGGCTCAAGTGGTAGAGCACTAGCCTTGAGCTGAAGAGCTGAGGGACAGCGCACAGGCCCAGAGTTCAGGCTCCACAACCGGACCAAAAAAAAAAGAAAAAGAGCTCAGGGACAGTAACCAGGCTCTGAGTTAAAGCCCCATGACTAACAAAAATACAAAGAAAAGAAATGTACTCTTTACCTCACTCTGTACATCACATTTTGTGTGTGTGTGCCAGTCCTGGGGCTTGAACTCAAGGCTTAGGCACTGTCCCTGAAGCTCTTTTGCACAAGGCTAGCACTCTACCACTTGAGCCACAGCATCACTTCTGGCATTTTCTGTGTATGTGGTACTGAAGAATCGAACCCAGGGCTTCATGCATGCTAGGCAAGCACTCTACCACTGAGCCACCTTCCCAGCTCTGTACATCACTTTTATAATAGTAACAATAAAAGTTTTTTAAAGTAAAAACAGATGGGGAGAAGGAAAAAAGCAAGCAGTTATAGAACACTCCATCCCCACATTCCCCCTTGGCATATTTTTTGTTTTGCTAGTTCCAGGATTTGACCTCAGGGCCTTCAGCATGAATGGTTATTAGGCTGGCGCTCTACCAGTTGAGCCACATCTCTATGCCTGGCTGCTTGGAGATAAGAGTCTTATGGACTTCCCTGACTGGACTGCATTTGAGCTGTGACCCTCAGATCTCAGCCTCCTGAGTAATTAGGATTACAAGTGTGAAACACTGGTGCTCAGCACATTCTACCTCTCGGGCCATGCCTCCAATCCTGCTTTTTGTTGGTTAATTGGAGATGGAGTTGCACAAACTTTTCTGTCAGGGCTGACCTTGAACTAGGATCCTCTCGTTCTCAGCCCCATGAGTAGCTAGGATTACAGGTGCCTGACTGTAGCATCTCACAACCCTGGGGGTGGGGAGAGAGGAGACAGAGTGACAGCATAAACACAGGCTGCTGACCATTGAGAGCAAGGCAAATCAGAAGCCAAGAAATCACCTTGTAAATGTTTTTATTTGCATGTTGGTTTGAGCTCTCTTTTCAAATTCAAGAGGGCAGTCCACATGGGTATACAGGCACAAAAGAGATCCCCAGAAAAAAAGAACAAAAAAAGAGAATGGCCCCCTGCTCTGCCAAGCACTGCAACAATGAACAGTTTGCACCTGAGAGTTAAAAGCCCAGGGATGTAACCCCTGCTGTTTCTTTTTGTGTCAGCTCTGGGGCTTGAACTCACTATCTGGACGTCGTATTTTAGTTCTTTCTCTCAAGGCTAGTGCTCTACCATGGGTGCCACAGCTCCACTTCTGGTCTTTTGGTGATTAATTGGAGATTAAGAGTCTCTCAGACTTTCCTGCCCAGGCTGGCTTTGAACTATGACTCTCAGATCTCAGCCTCCTGAGTAGCTAGGATTACAGGCATGAGCTAATAGTGCCTGTCCCAAGCTCGCCCTTCCTTCCTTCCTTCCTTCCTTCCTTCCTTCCTTCCTTCCTTCTTTCCTTCCTTCCTAACTTCCATTTTCTGGGATGCTATTAAGTCAATATTTAAAAAAATAATAATGCACAAACAGAAAACAACGTTTTCTGTGGAGATGTGGCAGGCGCTGTCTGCCCCTCTGTCCCCCTCCATCTCTCAGCAAGGAAACAGGGGAGGGGTGTCAGCTAGAGGGGAGCCCCTGGCCTTTCCTCACAGCTCTGCTTCTCGCTCTCCCTGCTCTGCCTCTGCACTGGCCTCGGCCCTCAGCACCCTGAGGTCCCTGGCTTCGCTGGCCCTGGGGACTCTCTTGGGCAGGGTTGGCAGGCGGGGAGTGTGCCAGAAGGCTCTTCGACGCTTGTGAAACCACGAAAAACGTCCGGGGGTCTGGAACCTCACTGTCTTGGTCTGTTTCCGGGTTCTAGATCTGGCTGTCTCTGGAGCCAAGGAGCCAACCAAGCCTTCAGCTTCTTGGATAGCCTGGGCTCCAGCCTCTGCCCTCTGACTAGCTGGTGCCTCTGCCCTCTGATTAGCTGGTGTCTCTAGCCTCTGGTCAGCTAGGGCCTCTGCCCTCTGATTAGCTGCCTCTTCCTCCTGGTCAGCTACAGCCTCTACTCTCTGATTATCCACAACCTCTGCCCTCTGGTGAGCTACAGCCTCTGCCCCCTGGACATCTGCAGCCTCTACTCTCCGGCCACCTATGGCCTCTTCTCTCTGATTATCATCAGCCTCTGCCCTCTGATCACCTATGGCTTCTTCTCTCTGACTATCTGCCGCCTGTGCCTGCTCTGGGGCTGGGCTGTCCACCTCCAGAGCCTCCCTCCTGCGGAGCCGGAACGAGGCCCACCTGATCTTGGGCCTCCAACGTGGGGCCGAGGGCTCCGCCCTTCTCCCATCACCCCCACTTCCCACGTGTCCCCCATTCCCCCCAGGCCTGGGGCCGCTGCCCTGAGAAGACCCCTCATCTCTCCCCGCAGCTGCAGGGGTGGAGGCCCGGGGAGCCCGAGCCTCCTCCACCCCCGATCTCGGGGCGCAGCCTTTCACCCTCCGCCTCAGTTTCCCCCAGGACACCTGGCTGACACACTGGCGCCAGCGGTCGGCCTTGGACACCTGGGGCCCCAAGTTGTCGAACATGGGCATGGGCAGGTGGGCGGGGCGGCCGCGGGCGGGGGCCGCGGGGGGCGGCGGCTCCCCGCGCCGCAGGAAGGCCTGCACCAGCTCCTCGTCGTCGTCGTCCTCGCTCTCCAGGTCACTGCCCAGGAACTTGCTGCCCAGGTAGCTGACGGGCGTCCTGCGCGTGCGCGTGCGCATGCGCGCGGGGGCGGCGCGCGCGCCCGGGCCGCCGGCGTCGCCGACGTCGTCGTCGTCATCGCTGTCGCTGGCGCCGCTGCTGTCGAACGTGCCGACCACCAGGCGCGGCGGCGGCGGCGCGGCCCTGGGGACCCTGGGCCGCGCGGGGGCGCGCGGGGCCCGCGGCGGCGGGTGCGGGGTGCTCCTGTCGAGGACGCGCGCCACGTCGTCCAGCGTGCGGCCTTCCTCCTGCAGGAACTGCAGCAGGCGCTCGCGGAACGCGGCCTCCTTGGTGGCGGGCTTGGAGAGCACGCGCCACACGCCGCCCGCCAGCCGCACCTGGCGCGGGATGAGCAGCGGGTCCACGCCGTCGCCGATCTGCAGCAGGCCCACCGTGGAGTCCTCCTCCTTGCGGAACACCTTGCCGATCTTCTTGAAGGGCCCCACGGGCCTCAGCGCGTCCACCAGCACGTCCAGGTCCACGTCCCTGCACACGTCCGGGATGCTCCACAGGATCAGGCCGTCGGGGGCCGGCAGGAAGCCCCACGGGAACCAGCCCCCCACGTGGCTCTTCTCCAGCGTCTTTAAGATCTCCATGGCGACGGCTGCGCGCGGAAGGGGACGCCCGGGCGCGCCCTGCAAGGCTCAGACTCCCCTCCGAGGAAAGATGGAGTTCCTCCCCTCAACAACGTGGCCTGGCTGGGGTTTCAACCTCCCCCCTAACCAGTCTGGACCAAATCGGGGAGCAGGGGGTCCCCCAGCACACACACACACACACACACACACACACACAAGCCCGAGGCCTGGTGCCACTGGCCGCCCCCTCCCCTCCCCACCCCACCCCTGCACCGCTTACTGCGAGTTCAGTCCCAATCCAATCTGGAAAGGTGGAATCCGAGGCCCCGAAGTTTTTTTTGGGGGGGGTGCCCGGACACAGAGGTCCAGCTGTTCCTTTCCTGGCCCGCCCCAGGCACCAGGCAGGCGGCAGGAACCTGGACGAGGACAAAGGCAGCTCAGCGTGGCTGCTCAAATATGGCCGAGTTGCCTGCAGGCCCGGCCCGGCCCACAGGAGGGTCTCCCGCCCCCCCCACCCCCCCCCCCGGGCCGGCGGCCACCCGCGCCACGCTGACCTTGGCCAGCGCTGGGCGGTGCATGGGCTGCAGGAAGTGGCTCAGAGCCCTCCCTCCCTCCCCATGAGGCCCACCTTCTTCTTCTCCTCTTACACTCTGGGACCGGGGAGAGTGACAGGGGGGCCGTCCACTCCCGGGGAGGCGGCCTCCTCGCTCCCCTCCCCACTCCCGGGGGTGTGGCTGAGCCCCAGGCCTCGCTGGGGCCCCAGCTTTCTAGCTTAGCCCTGGAGGCCCACGTCAGCACCTTCTCAAACCCTACCATCCTATCCACACAGTTTGAACAACCACCACCACCACCCTCATTTCTGGGGGTGCCAAGGGTACAGCATTTTTGAAGTTCCACTCATATATTCATATATGAGAGCAGAGATAGAGGGACGCAGGGGTGGCTGTGGAGGTGGGTGAGTATATTCACTGATGCCTGCTCAATCAATATTCAGATGCATGAAACTAAATGTTTATCAGAAAGGACCGACTCCTTGTTTTGGTCTATTAGAGAAATACTATGTAGCTATGAAAAAGACTGAGGTAGATTAAGGCTAAAGCAAGTTAGGGGAGAAATTCCTATGACCTAGGCACTATGCCAATTAACTCATGAAATCCTTACTGTGACACCAGACACATAATAGGAGTGTGGCTGCCAGGCAGTGGTAGAATCTGAATTTGAATCCCAAACAATGTGGAGTTGTGTGTAGGGATCAGAGCTTGCACCAATACATAGGTTGAACACTTGTGCAAAGGCTACAAGAAAACATCAAGGCTAATCTCAGAGTTGTTGCTTAGAGCCTGAGCCCTTCAACTCTTTACCAGTCACAGCATAGCCAGATATGGTGGCACCCCCCTGTAATCTCTGCTGTATAGGTGGAGACAGAATCCAGCCTGTGCAAACTGATGGAAACTATTTTTAAGAAACAAAATAAACAGCAAGTGGGCTGGGGAGGTGACTCAAATGGTCAAAACATCTCCCTAGCAAGCCTGAGGCCTGTGGGTTCAATCCTCCAACTTGCCTTGCCTGTTCCAGGAATTGCTACTTCCAGAAGCTTTAACCCTTGCCCTGCCCACCTCCCTTTTAGAAAAGAGTTTTTCAGGCAATAGAATTATATCCACTGGTCAGGTGCTGGTAACTCGATATTCTAATCCTAGCTACTCAGGAGGCCGAGATCTGAGAATAGCGATTGGAAGCCAGCTCTGGCAGGAAAGTCAGTGAGCCTCTTATCTCCAGTGAACCACCAGAAAACCGGAAGTGGAGTTATGGCTCCAAGGTGGTAAAGTGCTAGCCTTGAGCGGAAAAGCTCATGGACAGTGCCCAGGCTCTGAGTTCAAGCCTCACAAATGACTGATAATAATTATTACTAAGCTGGGCACTGGTGGCTCATGATTGTAATCCAAGCTACTCAAGAGGCTGAGATCTGATGATCATGGTTCAAAGCCAGCCCGGGCAGGAAAGTCCGTGAGACTCTTATCTCCAATTAACCACCAGAAAACCCGCAAATGCCACTGTGGCTCAAGTGGTAGAGTGCTCACTTTGAGCTGAAGAGCTGAGGAATAGCACCCAAGTCCAGAGTTCAAGCCCCACAACTGACCAAAAAAAAAAATTCACTATTATTATCATTATAGATTGGGAATGTGGCCTAGTGATACAGTGCTTGCCTAGCATGCGTGAAACCCTGGGTTCAATTCCTCAGTGCCACATACACAGAAAAAGCCAGAAGTGGCGCTGTGGCTAACGTGGTGGAGTAGCTAGCCTTGAGCAAAAGATGCTCAGGGACAGTACTTAGGCCCTAAGTTCGAGCCCCAGGACTGGCAAAATAATAATAATTACACCCATTGATTTACCAAGGAAACATTGTATAATGAAGTACAATTCTAAACCGTGTGTGTGTGTGTGTGTGTGTGTGTGTGTGTGTGTGTGTGTGTGTGTGTGTTGGTCCTGGGGCTTGAACTCAACCTGGGAAGGCAGTGTCTGGTAGGCAGAAAGAGGACCACATTGTGTGGGTATGGACAAAGTTTATTAGGAAAGCAACCTACTTACATATGGCCTCCACACAAAGAAAGCAAATCTGTCACTGGGGCATGTGACAGCTTCCCAAGGCCAAAAGGTTACAGGGGCTATGCCAGGCCAAGAGAAATAGAGGCGACCAAAAGGCAGCAAGAGACAGACAAGGCACAGATGTTTTACACATACGAAAAGTGTCCAGATGTTTTACACGTAGAACTGTCCAGGGTTGTTTATGTTTCTGGCGCCATTAGGAGGAGAGCACATCCGGGCGCCTTCCATGAGGTCGTGGCCGGGCTGTCCAAACTTTTGCTCAGAATCAGAAGGAGTTTTCACCACCCGCCCTGAGGCTGCGGCCAGGCGCCCCGACCCTTGCCAGGACTGTGGAGTTGTTTTCTCCTCACCTTCTAGCACGCATAGCCTCGTACAGCACACAAAGCCTGAGGAAGGGTCACACAGCTCTGTACCTCTGACAGCTGGTTTCTGTGGGACTCAACGTCCTGTGTGTTATTTATCTGACGAGTTCACCACTGATGAGAATCCCGCTGCTACTCTATACAAAGCCCTGGGCTGGGACGACGGGGTGCAGAGCCCCTCCAGTGGTCACATCGACAGCAGTCAGTTCCAGGACTGCGGCGAGAATCACGCCCAGAAACCTCAGTTCTTTTCCACAGTCGCTGGATTCCCATCCGCAAACCTCTGGGCCAAGATCGGGGGCAGTGAACAGGCACCCAGACCCCACAGCGAGATTGTAATATCAGGAGGGAGCGAGAAGACATATTCAGAGGAACAGAACAATGAAAACGTGTAAAAAAGTCGACAATCACAACAATCCAAGCTTTGCAAAGTTTCATCAATGGACACAGTTCCTATGGCTAATACATAAGGAAGTCTAACACAAGGCTGTGCAAAAGAAGAGTGATTCCTATAAAATGTATACTTTACCTCGTAGGCTCTAGTCAATTGACCAACCCAATTTTGAGCAGTAGGAAACGGGGCAGCAGGTTTCCATAAATGCAATTATCAGGGCCCAAATGTCTCTTAAAATTTATACATAACCAAGGGGTACAAGGCCCCCATTACAAACAGTGGATTCTACATAATTTATGGTTCCATTGTATAGACGCCATCAAACAGACACATTACTAGTGCACCAATCATCAACATGTTTTCCAGAACAACTAGCAATGAAACGCCTGTGGGGGGCCCAATCTATAAATGAAATATTATTATGCTGTATAATTTTTTCCTCTAGGGCTGCAGCACGGAGACCATGAAATAGGAGTGTTATTGCTGTTCACACAGCAAGACCCGGGAATGCAGCGTCCGATAGGCAGAAAGGGATCATACCATGCAGGTATGGACAAAGTTTATTAACACGTCATATGCTTATATACTGCATAGGGGCATAGAAGGTAAATCTGTAGTCACGGGACAATTATGGGACAGTCATCTTAAACACCAGTTGACCTTAAACAACTTTTGGGGAATGTAGACAATAAAAGTTAGCAATCTGCCGGTGCCAGTGGCTCACTGCTATAATCCTAGCTACTCAGGAGGCAGAGATCTGAGGATCACGGTTCAAAGCCAGCCTGGGCAGGAAAGTCCGTGAGACTCATCTCTGATAAATCACTCAGAAAATGGAAGTGGGGCTGTGATTCAAGTGGTAGAGTGCTTGCCTTGAGCTGAAGAGCTGAGGGACAGGGCCCAGGCCCAGAGTTCAAGCCCCAGAACCAACAAAAAATTTCCTCTAGGGCTGCAGCACTGAGACCACTGAATAGGCGTGTAAAACCAGTTCCAATATTTAATGATTTGGCATATAGGGTTGGCTGGTCGTGCAGTCTTATTTGTATAGGAATGATTCTGGGGCTGGGAAGGTGGCTCAGTGGTAGAGCGCTTGCCTTGCATGCATGAGGCCTTGGGTTCAATTCCTCAGCACCACATAAGTAGAAAAAGTTGAAAGTGGAACTGTGGCTCAAGTGGTAGAGTGCTAGCCTTGAGCTGAAGAGCTGAGGGACAGCACCCAGGCCCAGAGTTCAGGCCCCATGACCACCCCCCCCCCAAAAAAAAGATTCTGACCAAGGAAAGCATATTGAATAACCCCATATGATCAGGCAAAATGTTTGCCCATACCTGTCTTCTGACTAGTGAATAAGGGGCTACTCCCAAACACAGTTCTAAGGATATGCTGTAGTGTATTCCTTCCACCGCTGGATGAGTGGGGCCTGCATGGTCCCACGGTGGAGGTCATTAGTATATACCAGGATCTAGCCTGTCCACTAATCTTAACAATGGTGGGTGAGGAACATGGGCCCAATACCCATGTTCACTACTTACCACACAGGTACAGGTAAGCAGTGCGACCATGGCCAAAGAACAGATGTTTGGGGCTGGAAATGTGGCTCAGTGGTAGAGTGCTTGCCTTGTATGCATGAAGCCCTGGGTTCGATTCCTTAGTACCACATACTCAGAAAAAGCTGGAAGTAGTGCTGTGGCTCAAGTGGTAGAGTGCTAGCCTTGAGCAAAAGCACCTCAGGGACAGTACCCAGGCCCTGAGTTCAAGGCCCAAAACCAGCAAAAGAAAAACAACAACAACAACAGATGTGCAGGATGTTCTAGGGCTTTTAGTACTGACCAGTATGGCAACTCCCTTATCTGACAATGCCTTAATCTGACCCAGATTGGCAGCATCTCTCTAGTTTTCTTGTTGTCAGGATGATCTCGTCATTGTGTCTTCATGTTCAGGCCTGAAAAGCGGTGTGCTAATTCTTCTTCCTCAGGTTTAGGTTGTGCTGTTCTCATCCTTCTGGGTTGGATGAGCCAAAGAGGAACCCTTATGTTGCTGGTGGAACCATCTGGAATGATAGAAGCATACCCTTTCCCACTAGGGGTCATTAGTCCTGGTTTCCATTGATCAAGAAAAAAATTTTTTTCTTGTCAGTCGTGCATGGGGCTT